CTAATATTTTTGTATTTTTATTATTTATTAATTTATTTATTTACTTATTTTTTTTTTTTGAGACAGTGTCTCGCTCTTTCACCCAGCCTGGAATGCAGCGGCGCTATCTCGGCTCCCTGCAAGCTCCGCCTCCCATTTTTGCGCCATTCTCCTGCTTCAGCTTCCCGAGCAGCTGGGACTACAGGCGCCCGACACCACGCCTGGTTAATTTTTTGTATTTTTAGTAGAGACGGGGTTAGCCAGGATGGTCTCGATCTCCTGAGGTCGTGATCTGCCCGCCTCAGCCTCCGAAAGTGCTGGGATTGTACAGGCGTGAGCCACCACGCCCGGCCTTTTTTTGTTTGTTTGTTTGAGAAGGAGTCTTGCTCTGTCACTCAGGCTGGAGTGCAGTGGTGTGATCTTGGCTCGCTGAAACCTCTGCCTCCTGGGTTCAAGTGATTCTTGTGCTTCAGCCTCTCAGGTAGTTGGGATTACAGGCATCCACCACCATGCCCGGCTATTTTCTTTTCTTCTTTTTTTTTTTAAAGTAGAGACGGGGTTCCACCATGTTTTGTTTACCAGGCTGGTCTCAAACTCCTAACCTCAGGTGATCTGCCCTCCCTAAGTGCTGGGATTACAGGTGTGAGCCACTGCGCCTGGCCAACATTTTAATTTAAGCAAGCACATAAACTAGTTAGGGACAGTCTGCAGGTTGCAATCTTCTTCTGGGGTCCATGTTCCAAAGTGAGTTCTGTGTTCATACCCTCTGTGGGGTTATTTGGATCTGTCTCGTGGCTGCATCCTCCAGTAGTTTGGTACCTGAACAAAAATCTGTTCATGAGCACAGTTGTCTGAGTGTTTGGTGTGCTGGTTAAGTCTATGATACGCAGGTCAGCGGTGAGCCCAAGAGTTCAAAAACAACTCTCTGAGGTTGCTTGCCAAATACTGTCACCTTCCCCTCTCTTCTCGGTGCTTTTAGGTTCCCTCAGGTTTCAGTGCCCTGGCCTGAAACTTCCGACTTTCAGTTTCGCTTGGTGGAGCTGCCCACTTCCACAGTTGTGCCACAGCGGTGGGAAACAAATAAAAACAACAAAACACCGAGTTTGTGTCTGTCCTCTTGGAGCTGCAGTGCCACTGAATGGAAAGGACTCTCTCTCTCCCTCAGACTTTTGGCTGCTGAAGCTTTTTGCTCTGGCCATGAGCTTGACTGGGGTCTGGAGTGCAAAGAAATGAAGAAATAGAAAGAACAGGGAATTTTCTTCACTCCCTCTGAGTTAGGAGCTTCCTTTTTTGCTCCACGAGCCAGAATCAGAGGGTTTCTCCCGAGTCTCTGTATGTGCCCCCCACACTCAGTTCCAGGCTTTGGGCTACGTTCAGCTTGAAGAAGGGTGACACAACCAGTTTGATGGTGTGTCAAATTCTGCTGTTTTTTACTTTTAATTGTTTGAATTTAATTCCTCTAATTTTTCATCAGTGTTAAAATTTCACCTTTCCCCAGCACACCCAAAAAGCCCGTAGGCACAAAATGGTGGCCATGTGGCAAAGAACTCAGCAAGCAGAGCTGCCGGTTGGTTTCTATCTTTTTGTTTGTTTGTTTGTTTGTTTGAGACAGAGGTTTGCTCTTTTGCCCAGGCTAGAGTGAAGTTGTTGGGGAAACCAGCCCCACACCACCCGGCGGGTACCCCGAGTCCAGCGGAGACAAAGTAATTAGAAAGAGACAGAATAAGAGTTTAAAAGGCAGGTCCAGGGGACCGGAGCGTTGGATGTGTCTAAACTACTTAAGATCTTTAACTTATCGGGACTGAAATGGGTGGGAGTGGGTTTCAGGAGGAGCCAAGATGTTTGATTATACTCCACTGCTTCAAAGGAGTGTTATTTCCCCCAGCAACCTGTGGCAGGCCGCTGAACTGTTATGCTCTCAGGGCATAAAGAGATGAAGGCAATAAGGAGACTTTTCTCCTCAGAGGCCACCCATGGCTCCCCATGGGTGTCTCGCACAGGGGAGACCAACTCATCTGGCATTTCAGAAACTCTTTTTTCCAGAGAAGTGGCACGATTTCAGCTCACTGCAACCTCCACTCCCCAGGTTCAAGTGATTCACCTGCCTCAGTCTCTCGAGTAGCTGGGATTACAGGCACCTGCCACCACACCTGGCTAATTTTTTTGTATTTTTAGCAGAGACAGAGTTTCACCATATTGGCCAGGCTGATCTTGAACTCCTGACCTCAGGTGATCCGACCGCCTAGACTTCCCAAAGTGCTGGGATTACAGGCGTGAGTCACCCCGCCCCCAACCCTGGCTGGCTGGTTTCTATCTTGATGCCAACAACCAACTCTGTCAGCCAGCAGGTTCAATTTTATGAAAAAACTAAAAAACTCGTCATCCTATCTTTATAGCAATTCAGTGGTATCTGCCAAGTAGTGTCTACTTCAGTGTTGAAAACAGGGCAATGCTGGCCACAGCATCTCACACCTGTAGTCCCAGCATTTCAGGAGGCTAAGGCAGGAGGACCACTTGAGTCCAGGAATTTGAGACCAACCTGGACAACATAGTGAGACCCTTTCTCAAACCAAACCAAAACAAACCAAAATGAAACAAAACAAAACCAACTAACCAAACAGGAAATTTGTGTTATGCTTATTTCTTAATGTATCAATCTTACTGAAAGAAATTAGTGTTTAAAATGTGTTATAGCTGAACTGACTACACTTTATTCGTTTATTTCCTCAATTCTCTACATCTAATAAAATTTCAATGCCTGATTATTTTTCCCGTCAAAGTTCTCATGTTCACAGTTTCTCATATCTCACCCATTTTCCTTTTTACTTTCTTTCTTTCTTTCTTTCTTTCTTTCTTTCTTTCTTTCTTTCTTTCTTTTTTTTTGGTTCCAAGACGGAGTCTTGCTCTGTTGCCCAGGCTGGAGTGCAATGGCGCGATCTTGGCTCACTGAAACCTCTGCCTCCCCAGTTCAAGCAATTCTCCTGCCTCAGCCTCCTGAGTAGCTGGAATGACAGGTGCCCATCACTGCACCTGGGTAATGTTTGTATCTTTAGTAGAGATGGGATTTCACCATGTTGGTCAGGCTGGTCTCAAACTCCTGACCTCAAGTGATCCACCTGCCTCAGCCTCCCAAAGTGTTGGGATCACAGGCGTGAACCACCACGCCTGGCCTACTTTCTTTTTAAAAGTTATTATTAATTTAATAGGTTTGTTTTATGATCCTTCTAAATGGCTTCCCTCTAAGACATGTCATAATACATGTCTAATACTGCTAGCAGGCTCATGGTTCATGTATGTATATACATATATATGGAGAAATACCTATTACATAAACATTTAAAAATAAATATAAGGAAGAAAGGAGAATTTAAATTGCCCCAAATTCTACTTATTGGAGGTAACCATTGGAATATGTATGTATATTTATGATTATAAATACATGTTTTAAAAAATGACATTGCTTACTCTCTTGGCCATATATTATGAATATCCTTTCCTGTCAATATATATAGATCTACAGCATAACTTTTTAAAAATTGTAGTAAAAGATACATAAAATTTACCATTGTAACAATTCAGTGTACAGTTCAGTGGAATTAAGTATATTCACATTGTTGTGCAACCATCACCCCCATCCATCTCCAGGACTTTACCATCTTCTCACACTGAAACTGTGCACCCGTTAAACAGCATTTTTCATGGCTATGTGTAATATAATTTCTTTCAGAAAACTCTATTGTTATACATTCAGGTTTCTTTTTTTCTCTAGTATAAATATCTTTTACCAGCAATGCTTCAGCAAGATCTCTTGTGTATACATCTTGCAGATATATTATTTCTTTTTCTTTTTCTTGTTTTTCTTGAGACTGAGTCGTCGCCCAGGCTGGAATGCAGTGGCGCTATCTCGGCTCACTGCAAGCTCCGCCTCCCGGGTTCACGCCATTCTCACGCCCGCCACCACGCCCGGCTACTTTTTTGTATTTTTAGTAGAGACGGGGTTTCACCGTGTTAGCCAGGATGGTCTCGATCTCCTGACCTCGTGATGTGCCCATCTCGGCCTCCCAAAGTACTGGGATTACAGGCGTGAGCCACGGTCCCCTGCCGCAGACATATTATTTCTGAAGGATAAATTCCTAGAAATGGATTTGCTAGGTCCCGTAGGAGGAATTCCAATTTACACTCACTTGTATGTGTGAGGAAACTTTCAGACTCTATTGTAACGACAGGAGGTGTTACCATTCTTTTGCTATTTGTCCATGTGACAGGCAAACGTTTCTGGTAGTTATTTTAATACTGTTTGGATCGCTAGTAGACTCAGTTTTTTTTTAAACCCACACCATGTTAGTTTCTTAATTCTGGACTTTCTCAGTGTGTCAGTGTAGAAGCAGCTAACGCTTCCAATGTACACAACCCAGACTTTTCATGACCCCAGCCTGACTTCGACGCTGCAAGTCTCCCTCTCGGTTCCCCGGGGCAAGTGCCCGAGTACGTGTTGGGCTCCCGGCGGGGCTCCCGGCCGGCCCCAACGGACTTCCCCGCCTTTGCCCAGTTGTGCCCCTCCGCGGAGGCTTGCCAAGGTCTTGTCTGCTGCGCTTGATGTGTGCAGCTCAGCTTTACTGTGTCTGGGCTAAGCCCCACAGTTTCTTTTACAGAGTGATTGTCCAACTTCAGGCATCTGGGTCCGCGAGTGGTGGGTCTGGGCCGGAGTGGGGAATCAGCCTTTCCAGCAAGGTCCCTGCAGATGCCGCGGATCTGAGAAATACGCTTTGGAAGGCCTGGCAGTGCGTCTAGATCTGACAGCTGCTCTGCATGGGCCTGGCTCCAGGCTGAAGCAATAGTGGGTCAATGCAAAATCGTTCTCGTAAGTTCGGGAAGCAGAAGCCAGAGAGGGAGACTGGGTAGGTGCGCGCTGGTACCGCGGAAGCGTTAGCTCTGGCTTCAGTGCGCGGCCTGAGGAGGACGCCAGGGGGCAGCAGCGTCACGCCCGCCCGCCCAGGACGCGCTTCTGAACGCGCAAGCGCAGTAGGCCCAGTGCGTGCTGTCCTGGGGTAGCAGGGGGCGCAGAAGCTTGGGCTGCAGGTAGGTGCTGGGGCGAGGGGCGAGGGGCGAGAGGGCGAAGGGGTGAGGGGGCGTGCAGCTGGGTTTCTCGAGGGGCCTGTACGTGGCCCGGGCCGCAGCGTCGGCCGCCTGTGCGGAGGCTCCCTGGGAGGCTGCGCTTGGCCTGGGCGGCCGGGTCCACCGCGCCCAGCCCCCGCCTCCGCGTCCAGCCCTGCGCGGTAGCGGGAAGTTAAAGGACCCGAGAAGGGCCGGGCGAGGTGGCTCCAGTCTGTAACCCCAGCGCTTTGGGAGGCGGAGGCGGGAGGATCGCGTGAGCTCAGGCGAGAGAAGCCTGAGCAACATGGCGGAACTCCTGTCTCTGTAAAATAAAATTTAGCCGGGCGCGGTGGCGCTGCCTGTAGTCTCAACTACTCGGGAGGCTGAGGCGGGAGAATCGCTTGAACGCGGCGGGGGCGGAGGTTTCAGTGAGCCGAAATCGCGCTACTGCACTGCAGCCTGGGGGACACAGTGAGAGACTGTTTCTATTATTATTACTTTATTATCATTATTATTATTATTTGAGACGGAGTCTCGCTCTGTCGCCCAGAATGGAGTGCAGTGGCGCGGTCTTGGCTCCTGGGATCACAAGGCGTCCACCACCACGCCCAACTAATTTTTGTATTTTTAGTATAGACGGAGTATCACCATGTTGGTCAGGCTGGTCTCGAACGCCTGACCTCAGGTGATCCGCCCACCTTGGCCTCCCAAAGTGCTGGGATTACAGGCGTGAGCTACTGAGTCCGGCAGAGGCTGTCTCTGTTTAAAAAAAACAAAAACCAAACCAAACCGAAACAAAAAACGAAAAACAAAAAAACCAGAAAGGACCGAGGACTCTGTCTCAGCTCTTTGCCTTTGGGTGTTTATTTTGCACGAGATCATTGTTGCCAGGAGGTGTTAAGTGTAATCATATTCTTCTCTTTTTTTAGAAAGCAAAATTTCGCTCTTTTGTTGCATAATCTTGTCTTTGTCACCCTTTGCCTTTACTGTAGGACCCTAAGGCTAAATAAGCATTAAGAATATTTAAAATAATCCTTCTAATGTACCTTGTGCTTTATTGGCACAATGGAATTCTACTGTAAACTGCATTGGATGACACTACTCTGTGTCTTCCCTAGTTGTAGAAAATACCTTGTAAGTCGGTAAAAACTAGTTTTGTCCCTTTTCTTTTTTCTTTAAGCCAAGCTTTTCTCTATCAATAAGCCTGCCTATCAGTGTCAGAAATGCTTTGTATATCAATCGTGCCTGAATTTCTCCTGCCCAACCTGCCCCACCATCTTTATTCCTTAATGTGCAGGCTGTTTTCAGGACCAGTAAATTTCAGCGGTTTTTGCTTATTTCTGGACACGAAAGTTCCTTCAGCCACACAGCCTCATGCTATGCTCTGGGCGGCCTACTCCAGAATATGCTCTGAAACAAAAAAGCAAATCGGTGCTGAGGTGGGCTGAAGTCTTCTTTAAGAAACAGGCAGTCCCAGGGTCCCCTAGACCAGTCCCTAGGTGACCACACTGGGTTTGATTTAGTTCAACTCCTGAGCATTGTGGTATTTAGGGGAAAAATGGGCTTGAGTCCAGAAAACTTGGCTCCTCTGTGTATAGTGACCTTAGACATATTACTTCACCTCTGACTCAGTTGTCTTATCTGTGACATGGAAATAACAACAATTATATCCACTTCACAGAATTGGTGTGAAGTTGACACTGTATAAAAGTCAAATGAATTTTTGAGTTTTTTTTTTTAATTTTGTTTTGGTGTGGTTTCTTTTTGCTGAGAGAGGATTCAGAAGTGAATGTGAGGACTTAGGGATACATAAAAGGTTAGTGGGGCATATAAAATTTGTATTCAGCAAGAAATGCATTAAAGGTTTTCTTAGTAATGCGGAGGGTCCAACAGATTAGAAAATATGCATTTGTAGAGTCCCACAGAGTTTTGTAGCTGATGTTGGCAGCCTTTGAGTGGAAATGAAGAAGTGGACCGGGCAAGTTACATGGGGCAGGTGAATGACAAGCAGATCTGGGTTTATGATGAAGCTTCTAGTGTCTTCACTTGCTCAAATACCTTCCAAAACTCTGGCAAGGGGCTCAGCACTTTTACATTCATAACTGTGTATTCTTAAAGAATTACCACTCGTCGTCCCAACTTATATAAGCTTCAAGCCCCATACAATCTGAATCCACCCCTAGTGGCAAGGAAGGATTGGTGGGAGGTTAGGGGTAAGGAGGGTTGGAGGGTTGAAAGGATTTACCACAGGGTTTGAGCTGGGAAACTTGGATTGAAGAAGGAGGTGGCAGATGAGGGGCCTCAGAGAACGGGAGCTGTGAGGAGAGGAAGAGCGGATGCGGTGGGGTGAACACAGGAGAGGGAAAGCGGCCTTCATGGCTGAGGCCATGAAGAGGGAGAGGCGCCGAGTGACCAGGCAGTTGTGTGTCTTTGCTGAGTACCCACTGTGTGCCAGGCACTGGGGTGCACTGGTGAACAGGACAGACAGGCAGGCCTCTTGGTGCTTAGAATTTAGAGGAGGCCGGGGCCTGGGTATCCCAGAAAGGGAGCCTTTGAGGACTGAGGAAAGCTCAGGGGCCAGAGAGTGGGGTGCAGGGAGGGTTTAGGGAAGCAGATAGGGGCTAGATTTCAGGAGGCCACATAAGAGTTTGGACTTGATCCTGTGGGCCGAGTCAGGGGCTGTTGAATGTTAAGCCAAGTGGGATCACATCAGTACTTAGGAAGCTCTCCCTGCATGGGCCGGACACGGACACGGTGGCTCATGCCTGTAATCCCAGCACTTTGGGAAGCTGAGGTGGGCGGGTCATGAGGTCAGGAGATTGAGACCATCTGGCCAACATAGTGAAACTCCGTCTCTATTTTTAGTAGCTGGGCGCGGTGAGGTGCCTGTAATCCCAGCTACTCAGGAGGCTGAGGCAGGAGAATCCTTTTAACAAGGGAGTTGGAGGTTGCAGTGAGCCGAGATAATGCCATAGCACTCCAGCCTGGTGATACAGTGAGGCTCCATCTCAAAAAAAAAAAAAAGCTCCCTGCATGTATCAGCGAAACTTTCATGTATGCCTGGGGAGATGTGTACACAGCTTGTCTCACTAATTGTGGAAAAGTCAAACCAGTTGAAAATAGTGAACTGGAGTTTTGTACATCTGCATGGATAAATCTCAGAAATGTAACGTTGAGCTTTTAAAAAAGCTAGTTGCAACAGGATAATACCAGCCCATCACTGTTTGTATAAAGCTTGAAAACATATGTATGATTTATGGGCACATACTTGTGAAAATAAAAAGCATGTATGGGAAGCGGAGTTTGGTAGCCCATCCCTGTAGTCAGTCCCAGCTGCTTGGGAGGTGGAGGCAGGAGGATCACTTGAGTCTAGCCTGGGCTACATAGTGAGACTCCATGTCTTAAGTAGATAGGTAAGTAGGTAGGTAAATAGATATGATCGATTAGATAGACAGACAGATAGATAGATAGATAGCATGTATAGGAATTATATACACCAGTGGTTTTCAGACTTTAGCATGCATCCAAAATCACCTAAAGGATTTATTAAAACACAGATTTTCATTTCTGATTCAGTAGGTTTGGAGTGTGGACCCAAGAATTTGCATTTCTCCCAGGTTCCTGGACGATGATGCCACAGGTCTGGCGACCACAGTTTGAGAATCTCTGATGTCCACCAACTTGAAGATAAGAGATCACTTCTTGGGAGGGGGTAGAATTGAATGGGGAGGAGTCCAGAGGGGCTTCGACTCTATTTTTAATATTTAATTTCTTTAAAAAAAGATCTGAAAAAATGATGCAACGTAACTTGACAAAGCTGGATGAATGCTTATGATTTTTTTTTATTTTTCTCTGTATGTGAAACAGAAAAACGATACTGTTTGCTGTGTAATCCTGAGAATGGGCTGCAAGAGAGGAAAAACTGGGTGTCTGCTTGGGAATCTCTTGCGGAAACCCAGGTGAGAGGTGCTGCTGGCTCACAGAGGGGAGTGGAGGGTAAGGGCAACAAAGAAGGAGAGATGCTAGCGGCTGTGAGAGAGGTTTTGGTGGGAGCATTGAATGCATGTGGTAATTGGTTGGTTTGGAGGTTAGGGGAGGGAGGAATCAAGTCACACACGCCTGGTCTGTAACTTGAGTGGGTGGTTGGGTCATGAGCCCATCACAGAGGGAACCCTGGGGGAGGGTCATGTAGGGACGGGGGAGTTCTGCAGTGGACATCCCATACCTTGATAGGCCAGTGAGCGAAGCGTAGGAGAGATCTAGTCTGCAGTGCAGACTTAGAAAGCATCAGAGTTCAGATGGCTGCTAGTGTCCCAGGTATGGGTGAGGTTACCTGGGCCTTTGGCAGACCTGGAGGAATGCCTTCACCTAAGGCAGGGCTTGGCCAACCACAGCTTCTGCTTGTTTTTGCATAGCCTGAGAGCTGGGAATGCTTTTATCTTTTTAAATGTTAAGGGGAGACTTCAACGAAAATATAATTCACAAGCCATAACATTCGACATTTTAAAGTGTACAATTCAGTGATATTTAGTATATTCACAAGCTTGTACAACCATCATCACTGTCTAATTCGAGAGCATTTTAGCTAAAAAGAGACCCGATCCCCATCAGCAGCTATTCCACCCCCCGCCCCCCAGCCTCTGGGAGCCACAAATCTATGTTCTGTGTCTGAATTTGCTGTTTCTGGACATTTCATGTAAATGGAATCATATGGTATGTGGCCTTTTTGTCAGGCTTATTTCACTGAGCATGATGTTTCCAAAGTTCACCCATGTTGCAGCATGAATTAGTGCTTTTATTTTTTATGGCTGAATAATATTCCATTTATGAATGTACCACATTTTATGTATCCATTCATCTGCCAGTGGACACTCGGCTTGTTCCCACTGTTTGGCTGTTGTGGATAATGCTTCCGCGAACATTCATGTATAAGTGTGTGTGTGAGTGTGCATGTTTTCATGGGTACACACCGGGCAGTGGAGTTGCTGGGTCATGTGGTGACTGTGCTTAACCTTTTGAGGAGCGGCCAGACTGCTTTCCACAGTGGCTGCATTTTATTTTCTCACCAGTGATTTTTGAGGATTCCAGTTTTTCCCCATCCCCATACACTTCTGTTTTTACTGATTTTTGTATTATAGCCATCCTCATGGGTGTAAAATGCCATCTTGTCACACTTCTGATCTGCGTTTGCCTTGATGATTGGTGAAGCTGAGCATCTTTCATGTGCCTGTTTGTCATCAGTGTATCTTCTTTGGAGAAATGTCTATTCAAGTCCTTTGCCCATTTTAAAAATTTTATTTATTTATTTTTTTGAGACAAGGTCTCACTGTCACCCAGGCTGGAGTGCTGTGGCACGATCACAGCTCACTGCAGCCTTGGTCTCCTGGACTCAAATGATCCTCCCACCTCAGCCTCCTGAGTAGTTGGGCCTACAGGCGCATGCCAACATGCCTGGCTGATTTTTAAATTTAGATTTTGTAGACAGCAGGTCTTACTATGTTGCCCTGGCTGGTCTGGAACTCCTAGGATCAAGTGATCCTCCCGCCTCGGCCTCCCCAAAGCGCTGGGATTACAAGTGTGAGCCACCAATGCCTGACCCTTTGCCCATTTTTTAAATTGAGTTGTTTTTTGAATCTTTTGAGTTGTTCATCAGACATCCACATGGAGATGTCAAGGAAGCAAGCCTTGAGTTCTGAGGAGAGGCTGGGAATGGAGTTTTACCTTTGGAAGTCATCAGCAGGCAGTGATGAAAAGTCCTGAGTCTGGGTGAGCTCTCCCAGGGAGTGTGGCAGAGGCCTGAGCTCTGAGCTCTGGGCGACCCCACTAAGTGGACTCAGAGATGAGGAGCTGCCAGTGTAGTTTCCTGGAAACCAATTATAAAAGGCATTTAAGGAGGGAGCTATCAATCACGGTAATGTTATTGATAGGTCAAGGAAGACTGGGGCTGTGCTTTGACTGTTGTGTTTAGTGATGTGGAGGTCACCTGTGCTGACTGTGATATGGTCAGTTTGGGTGAAGTGGCAGTGAGTTGGAGAGAATGAGAGGACAGAGCTGGGGGTGGGGTTTGCCTGAGCTGGGCTCAGGGCCAGTTTCATGGTAACAGACAGTTTGTAGTAATAGGAGAGTGCAGGAACCTGGGGTGGGGCTTGGGAACTGGTGGAAATGCTCTCTGATTGCTTCTGTTTTTCTGGTAAAATAGGATGATCTCGTTAGATGATCAGCTGAGAGTGAAGGTGGGGGAAGAGGTGGTACATGTTTGGAGGAGGAGAGTGTGAGCTTCCAGCTAGCCTAAGGCCACTTGGGACACATCTGTCATGTTTTTTGACTCACTGCGATAACCAAGGCTGCACACTGGCAGGACTTGCATATCTCCATCAGAGGGACAGAGAATCATCTGAGAGGGCATGGGGCAGGAGTCCTTCGGGGCCTCTCTGACCTGGCCCGGTGCAGAGAGCTGGGGATGGAAGTGGCATGAGTGCTAATAGGGAGCAGGGGGTCAGAGGTACAGAGGATGTGGGAATGGGTGGTGGAGTGGGGAGAGACTGGAGCTTTGCCATTGGGGGCCTGGGCTGAGCAGGACTTGGAGCATGTGGTGATGAGCCTTATGGCAGGGGAGGCTCAAGGCCCAGTGTGTGCTTAGGGAAGTGGGCAGCAGAGCAGGTGAGGGACCCACGGGTGTGTCACAGGGGTAGGGTGTTGAGGAAGTTCCAAGGCAAGCTAATAGGGGTTATATGGCTGGAGAGAGGTCCAGTGTGGGCTTTTGGGGGATAGGGTGGTAGAGGTACCAGGATGTGTGCTAATAGGCTTCTGAAGCCTCGTGTGTGGTGATGAGGGTGTGTGTGATGTTAGCATTGTGTGTGTGTGTCTGTGGGGGCCTGCAGGGTAGGAGAGAATGGGGTGCTTATGGAGGGGAGGTGGTTGAAGGATTCTAGTGCTGTGTGTGCACTTGTGGGGGTCGTCTGTGATGGGTGTGTGCATGTGCATGTCTGGGTAGTTGGAGCCCAGTGCACGCTAATGGAGCAGAGCTGGAGGGACCTCATGGAGGGATCTGATGGAGGGAGGACGGTGGGAGACCTCGGCCTGTGCTGGCAGGGATGAGGATTGTGGATCTCTGTGGGGCAGGGGGTGGTGGTACAGGAAGGGTCTTGGTACCGTCAGAGGCCCAGTGCACTGAGGGTCAAGGTGGTGTGAGGTGTAATTGTGTCCCTGAGCATGAGGACACTCTAGGAAGGGGCAGCCAGATGATTTATGGTGTCCTAGAGGCAGCTACTGTGGGTTTAGAGCCATAGAGGCACTGAAATGTGTGCCATTGCTGGGAGAGTCAGCAGTGTGAGGTCTGGAGTACGCTCAGGAGCACCAGAACAGTGTGAGCTTGTGTGCTTGTGTCTGTGGGGTATTGGAATGTGTTGAGGTTCCAGGGAATACTGATGCAGGGGGTGAGTAGAGCCGTGGAGGGGATAAAAATAAATTTAAAAGGCCAGGTGCAGTGGTTCATGTCTGTAATCCCAGCAGTTTGGGAGACTGATGCAGGAGGATTGCTTGAGGCCAGGAGTTCAAGGCCAGCCTGGGCAACATCATGAGACCCAGTCACTACAAAAAAAAAATATATATAAAAATTAGCTGGATGTGGTGATGCACACCTGCAGTCCCAGCTACTCAGGAGGCAGAGGTGAGAGGATTGCTTGAGTTTGAGGCTGCATTGAGCTATGATTGCACCACTGCATTCCAGCCTGAGTGACATAGTCAGACCCTATCTCTAAAAGAAAAAAAAAAAGGAAGAAAATCATAGAATTTTGGAGATGAGTGAAGTTTAGGCAAATTTAAATGAAGTGGTATTTTGATGGGCTCAAAGCCATGTAGAACTGAGTGTAAAGGGGCCAAGATCTAGTCTGGACTGCAAAGTGGTCCCCTTTCCTTAGAAACTACCAGATTAACATAGATGTACAGGATTATCTCCAGAAACTCCTTATCTGAAGCTCTGCCCTGTTCGGAAACTGAGGTTGCTTCTCTGTGTCAGGGTGACTTTGATCCTCCAGGAAAGAGTGGGATGTTTTATTCCAATTGATAAGTACTTCAAACTGCAAAATTTCTGGTAGTCTGTGATTGTAGAGAACATAATTTCTAAATAGTAAAAAAGGAGTCTTCATCCAAAGGGGGTTTTTGACACTTTATGGCTGCAGTGTGTTCTTAGGAGAAATGCTGTTTTCTGTTAATGGTTTCATTGGTGTCTTGTCCCAGCTCTGGAAATGGGAGTGGATTTTGTTTTCTCAAGGAGGACGTAGTATCCTGGATTTTTCATGGCTGGCTCCTCTCAGGCCTCTGGTCGCAGTGTGAAGGTCACCTCCTCAGAGAGGTCTCCTGGGATGCTTCCTCCAGGGAGTTCCTACACAGTTACTCTCTATCCTTGAACCCCCATCACAGGATGATGATAGACCTATTTGTTTACTTGTTTATTGTCTGTCTTTCCCACTAGACTTTCCCCTAAGCTCCAGCAGGATAGGAACCTTGCTGGTGTAATTCACTGTGTGTGTGTCTCCAGCACCCACTGCAGGGCTGAGCACATAGAAGCTGCTCAGGACGTGTTAAGGGAATGAGCAACCGCAAGTCAGTGATGGAGGCGAAGAGAGCAGACTGGGACAGAGACTCTGATGGGCTTCCCCATGGCGCTGCTCTGTCCTGGGACTTGAGAACTTGAGGAAACCCGGACTTGAAGCAGGAGGAGGGCCCTGGGAAAGTTGGACCGTTTGGACTATGGCGATTTGTCTGGGTACATAGCTGCAGTTTCTGTTTACATACTTCCTGTTTTGTATTTTGCGGCAGGGTGTTTCCAGACCAGTCCCTGGGCGCCAACTAGAGTATGGACTGACCAGGTACCTGGATGGAGACCTGAGCTGGAGAAGGAGATGCGCTTGGTAGGTAACCCTGCATGTCGCAGCTGTCTCTGACCCAGTTCTGTCTCAGTGTTTCAGCATTCCAGTGCTGTTCAGCTGGCTCCCAATGGCATGACCACATCCACTGTTAAACTCTCCATATGCTTCCATTCTGCTCCATTCTGCTTCTGTAAATCACCTCTGCCACCCATAGTCCTACTTCAGGCCTCTCTGCACCCAGGCCCCTCCACCATGGCCTTGCACAGCTCCAGCGGTAGAGCCCACATGTTATCAGTGGTTCCTTATCACTGGTGTGACTTCTGAGTGGTCATCTCTCCAATCTCATCACTGTTATTCTAGCTCGTGTACTTGTCAGCTCCTGTCCGTAGTCATAACCAGGGCTTCTTAACTGGTCTCCCAGCCTCAGTCTCTTTCACCCCAAATCTACCTTTCATAACCGCTGAAGAGTAGCTTTTATTTCTTAAAACTGTTCAGGGGATTCTGAGTACCTCCTAGGGAACAGGACAGCTGCTTAGCTGGGTTCGAGAGAGGCCCTCAGCCTCCCAGGCTCCACCTGCTACCCTAAGCAGCCTCCTTCTGCTGTCCTTTGGTACCCTCTGTCCCCATCCCACCAGTTGACTAATACATTTTGCTTTCATTTTACTGAATATTCATGAGCATCTATTCAATGCATGCTACTGTGAGTCGTACAGAGTTAGACACAAACACCTCCCACCTAACCTAATCTAGAGGAACCCGTATTTTAGTTTGTAATAAAAAGTAATGATTATGGGAACAGCTAACATTGGGCATTTGGGATAAGCCTGGTGTTCGATACCTGCTTTAATCCCCACGGTAACGCTGTAACTTACAGGACCCTTGAGTAGAAGAGGAATCTGGACGCATTCTTGGAAATGAAAGCTGACTGTCATGACTTCTTGTTTCATTGTGTATTTTAGGAAATTGCAGAGGCCGTCAACATGGAAAAGCAGCCCCAGAACAAGAGGAGAGGCCTCGCCCCCCGAGAGGTGCCACCAGCCGTTGGGCTGCTGCTGATCATGGCCCTGATGAATACTCTGCTCTACCTCTGCCTTGACCACTTCTTCATTGCTCCTCGACAATCCATTGTGGACCCCAGACACTGTCCCTATGGTCACTTCAGGATAGGACAGATGAAAAACTGCTCACCTTGGCTGTCCTGTGAGGAGCTGAGAACAGAAGTGAGACAGCTAAAGCGTGTCGGGGAAGGAGCTGTGAAGAGAGTGAGTCCGGGTTCATTTCTGATTGCTGTCATCATGTTATTTTGCTTAACACAGTGTCCTCCAGCTCCATCCATGCTGGCACGAATTGCGGAATTTCATCCTTTGTTACTGCTGAAGTGTATTCCATTGTGTATGTGCACCGCATTTGCTTTGGTTGATTCTGTACTTTGGCAAGTGTGAATAGTGTACAGTAGGCATAGGTTTCAGCCCTTCGGGAAGCAGTGTAGCATCCAGTGTTAGGAACCCTGCTGGCTCTACGTTTTTATTGTTAAGCTCAATAATCTTATATCTGGCACTTTATTATTATTATTTTTTTTATTTTTGAGAGTCTCACTCTGTCACCCAGGCTGGAGTGCAGTGGCGCCATCTCAGCTCACTGCAACCTCCACCTCCTGGGTTCAAGCGATTCTCGTGACTCAGCCTCCCGAGTAGCTGGGACTATGGGCGTATGCCACCATGCCTGGCTAATTTTTTTATTTTTAGTAGAGATGGGGTTTCATCATGTTGGCCAGGCTGGTCTTGAATTCCTGACCTTAAGTGATCTGCCTGCCTCGGCCTCCCAATTGGACTTTATAATCCAAGGCAGGAAAAAAGGCAAATGCATAGAAAACTAGAAACAATACTTTTAGAATAGTTCATTAAATGATGGTCCATCCACTTGACAGAATATTCTGCAGCTGTTGTGTAGTTAGGAACCCCGAGAGGCAACAAGAAGAAAACCTTATGATGATAAGTGAAGAAAAAAATATACAAAATTGTGTAATTGACTTTTCAACTGTGAAATTACGTATATATGTAGATAAATAAAAAAATGGCCAGGCGCGGTGGCTCATACATGTAATCCCTGCACTTTGGGAGGCGGAGGTGGGCGGATCACTTGAGCACAGGAGTTCCAGACCAGCCTGGGCAACATGGCAAAACCTTGTTTCTACAAAAATAAAAAAATTAGCCTGGCACAGTGCCGTGCGCTACTTGGGAAGCTGAAGTGGGAGAATCTCTTGAGCCCGAGGAGTTTGAGGCTACAGTGAGCCATGATCTTGCCACTGCATTCCAGCCTGGGTGACAGAGCAAGACCCTGTCTCCAAAGGAAAAAAAGAAAAATTGAAAATGATAGAAATTGTGCTAGGGTGAAAGGGGGATTATGGACAATTTCTTTTCCTGTTTTTCAAACTCTATCATGGTATTACACTGATTTGTAACAATTTATTTTTAATTGGCACATAATAATTATCCATATTTATGGGGTACATAATGATGTTTCCATACCTACTTACAATGTGTAGTGATTGGATCAGGGCATATCTGCCATCTCAAACATGTATCACTTCTTTTGGTTGGGAACATTCAATATCTTCTTTTCTGGCTATTTGAAAGTGTATTGTTAGTTATAGTCATCCTCTGGTGCTATGAAACACTATAACTTGCTTCTCCTATCTGGCTGTAATTTTGTATCCTTTAACAAATCTCTCCCTATCCTTACCTTTGCTCTACCCTTCCCAGCCTCTAGAAACCTGTTCTGCTTTTTACTTCTTTGAGTAAGCTTTTTAAAACTTCTGCATATGCTTGTTGCCCAGGCTGGAGTGCAATGACGCAATCTGGACTCACTGCAACCTCCACTTCTGGGTTCAAGCAGTTCTCCTGCCTCAGCCTCCTGAGTAGCTGGAGTTATAGGCATGTGCCACCATGCCTGGCTAATTTTGTATTTTTAGTAGAGACAGGGTTTCTCCATGTTGGCCAGGTTGGTCTTGAACTCCTGACCTTGTGATCCGCCCACCTTGGCCTCCCAAAGTGCTGGGATTATAGGCGTGAGCCACTTTGCCTGGCTGCACATATCTTTTTGATATATTGATTTCCTTTCCTTTGGGTATGTACCCAGTAGTGAAATTGCTGGATCATATGGTAGTTCTGTTTATAATTTTTTGAGGAACCTCCATGCTGTTTTCCATATGGCTGTCCTAATTTACATTCCCACCAGCAGTGTATAAGAATTTCCGTTTCCCTGCATCCTCACCAGCATTTGTTATTTTTTGTCTTTCTGATAATGGCCATCCTAACTGGGGTGAGATGGTATCTCATTGTGATTTTGGTTTGCATTTTCCTGATGATTAGTAACATTTATCATTTTTTCAGCAATTTATTGGCCATTTGTATGTCTTGTTTTGAGAATGTCTGTTTAAATCATTTGCCATTTTTTGATCATACTGTTATTTTTTTCTGTTGAGATGTTTGAGTTCCTTGGATATTGATCCCTTGTCAGATGAATAGTTTACAAATATTTTCTCCCATTCTGTAGTTTGTCTCTTAACTCTATTTGTTTCCTTTGCTGGGAAGGTTTTTGGTTTGTTATAATCCCAGTGGTTTATTTTTGCATTTTTTTTTTAACTGAGTCTTGCTCTGTCACCCAGGCTGGAGTGCAGTGGCACGATCTTGACTGACTGCAACCTCCACCTCCCAGGTTCAAGAGATTCTTGTGCCTCAGCCTCCTAAGTAGCTGGGATTACAGGCGCCTGCCACCATGCCTGTATTTTTAGTAAAGATGGAGTTTCATCATGTTGGTCAGGCTGGTGTTAAACTCTTGACTTTAGGTGATCTGCCCTCCTCGGCCTCCTGAATTGCTGGGGTTGCAGGCTTGCAATAACTGAGGGCCCGGCCCTCAGTTATAATTTTACAAAGGCGGTTTCAATCCCTCCCTTTGGGGTTTCATAGCATCTTACTCTTAAGGTGTGCGCTGTGAAGATGGGAAAAGGCCATCGATCACTCTGGATTCTTCCTGCGGAAAGGGGGCATATGTTGACCCCAAAGTGAGAGGAGTAGAACTGCTTTGCAGCTGAGTATATTCATGCAGGCCGGGCTGTGGTTCCAAGGCTTTCATGACAAAGGCAGTAGTATCTTTGTAGTTTTAGTACAGCATTTAAACAGACAGTTTACTATAAGGTAAATAACAAGTTTTAGGATAAGGAGTGCAATTTCCAGTTTTAAAAGTAAAGATTTGAAAGCATTAGTTTGGGGACTTCATAAAGCGCATCAAGAATAATTGTTTTTTTTTGAGATGGAGCCTTACTCTGTCACCCAGGCTGGAGTGCAGTGGTGTGATCTCGGCTCACTGCAACCTCTGCCTCCCGGGTTCAAGCAGTTTTCCTGCCTCAGCCTCATGAGTAGCTGGGATTACAGGCGTGTGCCACCACACCTGGCTAATTTTTGTATTTTTAGTAGAGATGGGGTTTCACCATGTTGGTCTGGCTGGTCTTGAACTCTTGACCTCATGATCTGCCCGCCTTGGTCTCCCAAAGTGCTGGGATTACAAGCATGAACTATTGCACGTGGCAAGAATACCTTTTTTTTTTTTTTTGGTAGAGAGAGAGTCTTGCTCTGTCACCCAGGCTGGATTGCAGTGGTGTGATTGTGGCTCACTGCAACCTCTGCCTCCCGGGTTCAAGCAATTCTCCTGCCTCAGCCTCCTGAGTAGCTGGGACTACAGGCGCACGTCGCCATGCCCAGCTGATTTGTTTTGTATTTTAGTAAAGATGGGGTTTCACCGTGTTGCCCAGGCTGGTCTTGAACTCCTGAGCTCAGGCTGTCCGCCTGCCTTGGCCTCTCAAAGTGCCAGGATTACAGGCATGAGCCTCCGTGCCTGGCTAGAATGATTATTTTTTACATAGGCTTTTTAAATTGGTTTTGATGGAACTCTGTTCCATAAGGAATCTCAGATAAGACTTTTTAAAGCTGAGTCTAGCCATAGGTTTGTACTTTCAAATACTTACGAGTTGGGTAAGTTCCTCTCGTCTTGATGTCCCTAGATAACTTGGGGCTCCTGGGCCTGTCAGAAAGTGACATTCTATACTTACCATGGGTCAGGAACCCTGTACAGGGACTGCATAGACAAAGTATGAGGCCAGTTTTCCCAAGGGCTTTTACTGGCTTTACAAGTCAAGTTTGATTCCGTAAAGGAAAGCATGCCATTCCAGTCAAACCCTTGGTAAAATAACCAGTTTTTTCAATTGTGTCCTGTTACAAAAGAAAACAGATTCTTATTGTATTTATGCAAATAGCTATATTGCCATAAATTAAGAATACTCACAAATAGTTTTTAAATTCTGGAGAAATCAGGTAGAAACAAATATGCTCCAAATTTTATTCACAGGAGTGTACTTAGTTGCTACAAGCTGTAAATAGCTTAAAAGAAGTTATTCAGCAGCATTTTAAACAAAAAAGTTACTTCAGACTTTTATTAGTTTAGTCCGTGCATTTAACTTCTGTTTGATATTTATGAACACTTCAGCTTTCCATGAGAGTTCTAAAAGTTTTTTTCCTTTATTCTAATGTCATAATCTCCAAAGTTATCAGAAACTTGCATTCAAGAGCACATACCAGAGTTTTAACAGCTGATCATAAAACCATCTTCTATAGAGGACCAAATTAAAACAGCAGTTGTCTGTGGATGAGAAAAACATTTTAGGGGAGCCACCAAGACACAATTGACAAGGAAATTTGTTAACTCTGTGACACACAATAATTCAACACAACAATTATAATTATTACTGATGACATATACTGAGGCATATCAGAATTATAGGAATTTTATACGATTTTGCAGCATATAACTTTATATCACAAATTTATATTAATATAACCCAAAGAAAATTAAACACCATTTTCTATTTGACAGTGTTTCCTGCATGATTTTAATAAATTAAATAAGCTGAATATGTCTTTTGTCCTTTAGGGGACTTAATTTTTAAAAAATTTTAACTTAGAGCTTGATTTTGAAAGGTTTGTTAAATACCAAACTTTTAAAACATTGGATATTACAAAATGGAGTCTTAGGTTACCATAAGTCATTCATTTAGCCAAAGTAACTCAAAAATTTTACAAACGAAAAGCCATTATTCTGATAGAGAGGAGACTCAGCTTTCCAAACAAGACCCAATGAAGATAGCATGATGCTGATTGCCTCCTCTCTCTCCCCTCCCTGTTTTTTCTTTTGTAGTTTACTTAAAAGG